GGCTTGTTTTTTTCCGTCTCTGAGATTTGTCAGTTTTTCAGTAATGCTTCCCTTTAGTTTTCAAACCTTTACTTTTTCACTAAATCATTAGTGTTCTCAGTCATCTGAAAGCTGGCAAGTGAGCACAGGGCTTGCGTAGTGTCCCTTCTTTAGAAAACATTAAGGCTTTTGGATGTAGGAGGAAAAAGAACTTCCTGCAAAAGATCAAAAGCATCATATTGAATAATGTGATGACAATCTGTGTCTTGATTTTTCTCTCAGTGGAGATTCAACATTGACATTTAAAATGTGAAAAACATCCCTTTAAGAATTTAATTGAGCAAGAATAAAAGGTCAAAGCTCACAAGATGAGGTTCTTTTGGATGATGGAATACCTTGGAATGAAATGAATGGCAAAAAAACTTTGTTAAAATGTTAACAATGTTGAAGTATTTAAAATTACAATCATCAAATGCACAAAACTCTTTTACTACTACCCAGATGTGGCCTCCACTGAGTACATGATTATTTAGACACTCTCAGTGAATTTCTGCTACAGATATTTATTTTTTCTGATGTTTGAGTGATCCTGTAACAGTGCTGTAGCTAAAAAGAAGAAGAAAGAAAAGAGAAATGTAAACTTTAAAAACTAACATTAAAAACAAAGACCATTATAATAAAAATCACTTAAAATATAAGAAGATAATTATTGGTAAGACTAAAAGAAAGTTTCTGTAAGGGCCCACATTAAGCACATTACAAAAAGAAGTACAAAGCAGAGTCTTTGTGGCTTTAGGAATTCAAACTTTTGGCAAGATATTTTTTAAGTCCATTTGTCTATACAAAAAACTTTATCCTGGACAAAGAATTGTATGCTTTACAATCATTTTAAGTGCCTGTTTGTATATCAAGTGCCCTCCAAAACACTCAACAAATTTATGTTTGTCTAGCCACTGAGTGACATAACTGTGTGTAATAGAATTATTTGAGAACTTAATAGCCTTTGTGATTTTTTTTCCCATGGGAATTCCTCAAAGAGAGTCTAGGTTCTTTTTCTCTATTTACTAAGGCACTGCATATTTGCTGGATATTGAAGTTTATCCCTGGGAATTCAATTATGCAAGCAATTAGGAGTTATTCAGTCTTAAGTCCATGTCTAAATGAATTCTTGCTACCCCTTGTGTTTTATAACTGCACCTGTTTTCCTTTACAACATATCACATGTTGAATATAAATAAAACCCATATAAACATAAAAGTGTTCAAATGGCTAAGTCATTGGGGTGTATTCTATACCTTTTAGCCACACAAAAATCACGGAATCCCTGTAGTCTGCAATGATTGGCAGTTGTTTTCCATTCTGATTCTACAGCCTTGAGCATCTGTAGGTTTTCAGCCTGGGACCTGAACCCCCATGACTTCCTTAATGCTGGTGGTAAAATATCGCTGCTCCTCAGGGTTTCAGTGCCTGCCTACCCATTGTAACAGGGGCAGACACAGCCAGAGGGCTGCCAAGGCAAGGGATATTTAGAGGCAATAACGTACTTAAGTGACTAACACTTCATGGGGTGGGGCCATGGGGGGTGAGAAGGAAGGTTGACCAGACCTGGCTAAGCTCTGAACCTGCCCAGCTGCACTGGTGTAGATGAACCAAATCATCTGATCTGTTGCCAAGGGTCTTTACTGCCAAGGAGATTAGTCACTTTGCAAAGTTAACCTAAGTCAATGGGCTTCCCTGGTGCCTAGTAGCAAAGAATCCACCTGCCAATGCAGGAGACTCAGGTTCTATCCCTGAATTGGGAAGCCTTTCCCTTCTCCAGGGGATCTTCCCAACCCAGGAATCGAACCCAGGTCTCCCGCATTGCAGGCTGATTCTTTACCAGCTGAGCCACAAGGGAAGCCCAAGAATACTGGAGTAGGTAGCCTATCCCTTCTCCAGTGGATCTTCCTGACCCAGGGATTGAACCAGGGTCTCTTGCATTGCAGGTGGATTCTTTACCATCTGAGCTATCAGGGAAACCCTGCTATTGAAGTATTATCCCCCAAAATGGGCAAAATATACAGAATTAGATGGAGCTGGGGAGAGGGGAGGCGGTGGAAACTCCTGTGTCAAAGTTCTTCCAACACTTCCAAGACTCAGGGGAGAAAAGGTTGTGTTTTAGCAGAAAGGTTGTGATCATCTACAGAAATGTGTGGATGGATCGATCAGTCCCCACCACGGAAGAAAAAGGTCTGTGTGCTGGAACTTTCCAAGCTGTGAGGGAGAAAGCCTGGCCTTCAGGAGCTTGGGGAAGGGAACCAAGAAAGGGAAGACTGACCATCCAGCTCCACAAGTATGCTGACAGTTCGAACTAAGATCTCCCTGCCAGAAAGTCACAACCACCCCCAGAGGCACTCAAAGGAAACGTCCCCAAACGAGAATTAGTCAAAGTGGACCTGACTAGAGAAAAAAGCCATCAGGAGACGAGTCAGGCCGATTTGAGCTGACCCTATACAGACTCCTGCCTAACCCCCAGCTGCCATATCTTAAATGGAAAGTGAAAGTGCTATTCTCTCAGTCGTGCCCAACTCTTTGTGACCCCGTGGACTGGAGCCCGCCAGGCTCCTCTGTCCATGGGATTCTCCAGGCAAGAACACTGGAGTGGGTTGCCACTGCCTTCTCCAGGGGATCTTCCCAACCTAGGGATCAAACCCGGGTCTCCTGCATTGCAGGCAGATTCGTTACTGTCTGAGCCACCAGGACAGCCCAATAAAACTCTTAAATGTAAGTTTTATTATAATTCAGGTGTGATGAGGCCAACAGATTACGAGAGAATTGCTATTGAAAAGATACTAATTATACTCAGCTCCCAAGAGGAACACCAGGGGAGCCACAGTGTCCATCAGGAGGCAAAAGGGGTGAAGGTGAAGTGTAGGCAAGAGCCACCACTGTGGCTTCCATGGGAAGGGATGGATAAGGCAGGTGAACTGGTTTAGGATGAGCTGAATACTGCGCTGAAATTATTAGGTTTGAATCATTTCACTGGGCTCTAGACAGAGCTGTCCCTGCTTATCTAGTGTCTGGTGCTGGGGTGATTGGAGCACATAGATCTGGGCCAGAGTGTTAGAGCCAGAGAAAGGAGGCTTTCTTGGATTCAAGAAAGAAAGAATTCTTTCTTGGAAAATTCCATGAGCAGAAGACCCTGGTGGGCTACAGTCCCTGGGGTTGCAAAGAATCAGATGCAACACTTTCACTCTTTCTTTCACTAGATCTATAGAGTCAGTTGAAATTACTGAAAAATTCCTAAGTTGTGAATTGTCCAAAAATCATATAAAGCATGATATGGCTTCATGGGGAAAAAACAGGTTAGAAAATCAAAAGTAGAGTGGGATCTCCGTTTTGCATTTATATGCAGATAGTTCCTGTGTTTTAAGGGGAGCACACATAGGGAATGTGAATGGAGATGGAGGTAGGCGGAGAGGGAGAAAGTGAGGGTGGGCGTTACATGGGAAGTATGGGTGGAGTGTGAAAAGGAGTTTGAGTGTATGATGATTCGTGTGCACACGTGTGTGCAAACTCTCAAGAGTCAGTGAGTGTCTCAAGTGTCTCAAGACACAGTGGAAAACTATAGTGAGCACCCAGACTTCTAGAACCTAAAAGATTGGAATTGAAGGCAAAAAAGCAATGGAAGGGCTCCATCACCTCCCCCACTTACCTCCCCACCTCCCCAGGAAAACTCAATGATTTTTAAGAGCAAGAACTTTGGAGGCAGATCTGATTTCCAGTCCCAAATCCATCACTCACAAGCTAAGGGACTCTGCATAAGTCATTCAACTTTTTGACACCACTTTCCCTTTTTAAACATAAGAATACTTTTTAGCATCCATGAGGGGCTGAACACAGTGTCACACACAGCAGACATTCAATAAAGGATAACTTTAAAAAATTCTATCCCATTGCTCAAAATGGATCCCAAAAGAAAACTGCACCATGGCAACAAAACAATCTCCAGAAAAGCAATTTTTAAAATACATTCACATTCTATGGCATCTTTATTTTTGAGAGGTTTGGAGGCATGGGTTAGAGAGGAAGAGTAGAGTTTACAAACAATCCTTGATGACTTGTGGCTCTTGGGACTAAGGAGAGACTGAAAACATGAAATTTGCAGGCTACTGTTCCCCAGTGAGTTAAAACAACACAACCTTTTGCCAGCTTCTCACTTGTGAACAAATAAGCAGACTGGAGCGTGCAGGGTCACAGCATCTCATCTCACCCTCTGACAAAGGTGCTGGGAGGCCAGGATTGGCCACCAGTCCCAGGAGGAGGACACGCAGCCAGGGAGCTGAGGGCAATCTGCCTGGGAGAGGGAGGGGGTGATAAATTTGCAGCCAGAAGCCTCAGTGCCTCTTTAGTCCTAAACATCAAAATCAATCATAATTTTAAGCATTCTGGGGATTTTGTTGTCGCAATTAGAAATTTAGCTAATAACTACTTTGGAATTACAAAGCAGATAGCTAGAACTGGAAAATGAGCAAATAATCACTTTCGATTGATAAGGCAAATAGCTAGTATAAATGTGTTACTTTGCCGATCATCTAGAGTGCCAGGGGAATCTTCCCAACCCAGGGATTGACTCCAAGTCTCTTGCATTGCAGGCAGATTCTTTACCGTCTGAGCTACCAGGGAAGCCCTAATTAAACTCATTAAAAAGTAATTCTGAAATCTTAATCACGGTCACCCAAAGATCACCCCAGCTACAACAAGAAAGTTGCTGCTCTAAGTCAGCGATGCCTACTTACTGATTATCCTAAGACTAATGCAAAGTTTTCTTTCCTTTCTTAAAAATAAAAGTAGCATACAGCGGTTTTTTTCTTTCTTTCTTTCTTTTTCTTTTTGTAGCCTCTATGCCTTTTCCTGCTAATGCTGATCCAGCTGTAAAGTTACTCTGCTTGAATAGTGTTGACATTCTCAACACTTCTAACTGCTGGGGTTGCCATAGGAACAGATATGCCTAAGTGATGGCTGGAGGCAGCAGGAGGACCTCAGGCTCTGTTGGGGACCTTCGTGTGGTTGTCGTAGGTGATGCCACCAATGCCCTCTAGCATATTTATGGGCAGAGGAAACACAATGGTGGAATTCTTCTCTGTGGCCACGGTGGCTAAGGTCTGCAGGTAACGCAGCTGGAGGGCTGCCGGGGACTCAGCCAGCACCATGGAGGCGGACTTCAGAGCTTTAGAAGCATTCATTTCTCCTTCCGCTGCAAGGACCTACACCAACAGAAAGAAAAGACTTTAGAAATAAAGGTTCCCGACTGTGACTAGTGCTTGCTTTATTTGGGTCTGCACTGATGTTTCCCTCCCAGCCCACACTTGGCCACCCATGTTTCATCTACTTCTTCGGCAAGGATTAGAGTTTCACATCCTTATGTGATTAGAGACATTTAAGGAGGTTGCAGGAAACAGGGAGATAACTTACAAATTATGAGTCCCTAGTTTTCATTCCAAACAAAATAAAAGCCCTGACTTTAACCCAAACAAATACAGGTCCAGCCACCCTAGTGATGCTCTTGAATCTGTGCTCCCCATCTGCTGCTTTCATTTGCAGAGAAGTCTGAAATTCAAGGCTTCCAGCTGGCTTTTTCTTCTGTGAGTTTCACTTATCACAGATTTTTTTTTTTTAATTTCCTTCTGTTGCCAATTTTGTTTCATTTCTTAATTGGAGTGCAATTACTTTACTTTGTGTTAGTTTCTGTGTACAAGGACGTGAATCAGCAGACATGTATACATATATCCCCTCCCTTTTGGGCCTCCCTCCCACCACACACACCCCCCCCCCCCCACCTAGGTCATCACAGAGCACCCAGCTGAGTTCCCTGTGCTATGGACCAACAATGAAAGATTAGAAAGAGAGATTAAGGAAACAATCCCATTTACCATTGCAACAAAAAGAATAAAATGCCTACCTAAGGAGGCAAAAGACCTGTTCTCAGAAAACTTTAAAACACTCACGGAAGAAATCAAAGATACAAACAGATGGAGAGCTATACCATGTTCTTGGCGTGGAAGAATCAATACTGTGAAAATGACTATACTACTTAAAGCAATCTGCAGTTTCAATGCAACCCCTAATAAACTACCAATGGCACTTTCCACAGAACTAGAACAAAAAAATTTCCAATTTTGTTTCCTTCTTACAATGTAAGAATTGTTCCCAGTTCTGCCTTCTCTTGATTACAAGCAGCAGCAATGCCAGTCTGCAAACCCTCTTTGGAACTCTCCTAAGCACCCTGCACCTCCTCTGGTTCTCCAGCTGCCCAGGAATGACTTGGAACTCAACTGCCCCATCCATGGGCACTCACTGCCCATGTGCAAAAGTGCCTTCCAAGTCCACTGCTTAGAAGCTGCTGGAGCTCAACAGAGAAGTCAGAGATAAGTAGAGGGAATCTTCCTGTACTCCCAAGTAAGATTCCAAAGAGGGTAGTTGGAGGCTTCTAATGTCAATTGGTTTCTGATACTTCAGAAAATTCATCCACACAGACAGGAAGGCTATGAATCCAACAGATTCAAGAGCACTCAAGACCAAGTTGCACTCACATTTTGTAACTCTAACCTGGATTGTAGTCACCTGGTCCTCTTAATCTAGTGTGTTCACTTAACATGCTAGAGGGTTGATGCTCCAGAGGCAGGCACCAGGTTGCTACATCAGAATCCCCAGCCAGCTACATAAAAATGTAGGTTCCTGGGCTCACTGGAGCCTCTGCTTCACTGAGTCTGAGGTGAGACCTGGGGATTGGTGTTTGCCTTGCTCATGTCTCTCAAGGGGACCCACCTTGCTAAGTCACTGAGTATAATATAAATATATATTTATATTATAATATTTTGCATTCGGAGAAGGCAATGGCAACCCACTCCAGTACTCTTGCCTGGAAAATCCCATGGATGGAGGAGCCTGGTAGGCTGCAGTCCATGGGGTCGCAAAGAGTCGGACACGACTGAGCAACTTCACTTTCACTTTTCACTTTCATGTACTGGAGAAGGAAATGGCAACCCACTCCAGTGTTCTTGCCTGGAGAATCCCAGGGACTGCGGAGCCTGGTGGGCTGCCGTCTATGGGGTCGCACAGAGTCGGACACGACTGAAGTGATTTAACAGCAGAGATGATTAATGTGAGTTTGAGCAAACTCCGTGAGATAATGACGGACAGGGAAGTCTGACGTCGCAGAGTCCAACACGACTGACTGAGTAACTGAACAACATCGCTGATTAACAACGCTGTGATAGTTTCAGATGGACAGCAAAAGAACTCAGCCACACATATACATGTATCCGTTCTCCCCCAACTTCCCTTCCATCCAGGCAGCCACATAACGTTGGCAGAGTTGCCTGTGCTATACAGTAGGTCCTTGTTAGTTACCCATTTTAAATATAGCAGATGTACATGTCCATCCCAAACTGTCTAAATATCGCTTCCCCCTCCTTTCCTTCAAAGTTGCCCATGACCCTTTAATTCAGGAAGAAATTCTCAGTAAACCTTCTAAAAAAAAAAAAGAGGAGAAGAAGCAGCCCTCTTCTTATTGACGTCATTGAGGAAGCCTGAGCTTCCATTCACGCTCCATCCTCGTTGGCTCCAGGGTGGGGGGCTCGCCCTCCAGTGCCGACTGGAGTCGCCCTTACCTTGGCCCTGGCTTCCCGGGTGGCCTCGGCCTCAGCAGCCATGGACCTCTGCAACTGCACGGGAATCCGGACATCTTTGATTTCCACCCGGGCCACCCGGATCCCCCACAGCTCGGTGGCGTCATCAAGTAAGGTCTGTTTCCAAGTCAAAAGAAAGGACATAGATCAGAATCCAGGCAATGCAATCAAAGTTTCTGCTATATTTTACATATGCAAGAGAAGCCCTCTTCCTTTTCTCCTTTTGAATTTACAGAATTTGGAGTGAGACTATCTGAGAAGAAAATAGGTGTTCTAATCACTCCCTTCCTGGAATTGAAGTAAATCCCAGGAAGGATTCAGAAACAAAAGTTGGTATTTCTTTTAAGAGGTGGTTGCTTCAGCAGATGCACCCAAACCATTCCTAAGGCACATACACTGTCCATCTAGATTTGAGCAAATACCCCACATTTTCTTGTCCCTGACACCAAGCAGACAGCAGTGGCTTTTGTCCTGGTTCTGCCATTTACAGCTGTGAATCACTGGGCTCACTCCTTAACTTTTCTGATTCTCAGTCTTCATACCTATGAAAGGTTTTCTTTCAGGACTGTCATGAGGTTTGCATAGAATACACATAAGATATCTATCATGGCCTAGCAGTAATTCAATACATATTAATATTATCACTGGGTACTTTTTGAGATACTCTTTTTCTTGCTTTGTTTAACCTCTGACCTGTAGCTCAGTTTTAAACAGGTAGCAAGGCATACATGTCTTTTTAGGGCAGAAGAAGCCTAAAACCAAAGACATCCTCATCCTTCATTAGAGCTTCAGACAACTGAAGATAGCTTGCTGGTTACCCTGAAGGAGTAGGGATGAGAAACAATGCCTCAAGAAATAGTGAGATCAGATGAATAGTTCTCCCAAAGCGTAAAGGGCAGAGATCTCCTTGCTACCAAATTGCAAGTGAGGCCTTGCTTTCCTGTGATGCCTGCAGAGAGCCGGGAGATGGGGAGACCTTTCAAGAAGCCACTGACCTGACTGTGATGGGGAAACATCTGAGTCATTGAACTTGTGAAGCTCTTAAAATGGCATAGAGCATTATCATGCAGAACTGATATTATCTTATAAAGCCTCAGGGACTTTGGCCTACCTTAGAGACTGGAGGAGAAGCCGAGAAGGACCAAAGATGAATTTCCCTTTTAGAGAAGGCAGGCTCAGAATAAAAATGTAATTGATTCCAAAAACACAGAATGTGATTATCTACAATCTAGGGCTTCCCAGGTGGTGCAGTGGTAAAGAATCTGCCTGCCAATGCAGGAGACACAAGAGATGCAGGTTCAATCCCTGGGTCAGGAAGTAGAAGTAGGAAATAGCAACCCACTCCAGTATTCTTGTCTGGAAAATTCCACAGAGGAGCCTGGTAGGCTACAGTCCATGGGATCACAAGGAGTTGGACAAGACTTAGCACACATACACACATATACATAATCTAGGGTGAACAAGAGGTGACAGGGCTACCTGTTACATCCTCAACAATAGTATAACTACGATTGCTATTCATATCTTTATTGACATTAGGAGCATGAAGTCAGCTTTCCTAGGAGGAAAAAGCTGAAGTGTATGATGTCAATTCATCATTTTGAGTTCCTAAAGCAATTCCAGCAGCTCCCTCTTCCCACCTACATATTTAAATCTGGACCTCATGATTGTTTAAAAAAAAGAAAAGAAATGCTAAACTGAAGCCCATCTGTTAAGAGCAGCAGTGCACATGTGTGTGTGCGCAAGTGGAGGTGGTGTTTTGAACTGCTAATATTTGATTATCACTGACAATTAAAATGAGTGGATTAACAATGCAGGCTATTTGTTCTCAGTGTCTTTACCTGGATGCTATGGGCAATCTCTTCTCGGCCAGCTAGGATCTGGGACAAGGTCTGTGTCCCTAAGACATTTCTCAGAGTGGTCTGAGCCAGCAGAAATGTGGCTTGGTGGACATCATTGACATTAGCCACTGCTGAGACGGCGCTATAGATCCTGTAATAGACCACTCCATCCACCTGAGTGGTCACAGAGTCTCTGGTGAGGATCTGGAGAGCAAGAACATGAAAAATCACATGCATATGACTTTCACACAAAGAGTTGGACACGACTGAGCGACTGAGCACACATACACATGACTTTCACAATGACCAAAAAAGCGTCAGGCTGCCTCGGATTCCACTCCACCAAAGGAGAGCCTTCATGACAACTCATGCCAGCAGCACTGAACATCTGCCCTGACTTGAATCTACTATCATCCTAATCAGTAACCAAACTCCTACATAGGTGTGATATGTACCTAGCCCTGTAACTTCATCTTATGGAAGTCTCACCCCCTACTCAGAGATGAAGTAGGTGTTTCCACTTTAAATTGTAGAACCCTGCTGAAATTCTACCTTCTAAAGAGAGGTAGAAAAGTCATTTCCCTGATACTTGAGATCTTTTCAGTCCGTTTCATCAGTTTGATGAATAGCAATGCTTCTTAGAAAACATAGATGGCACCAGAGACCCATGTTCTGTATTCAGATAAAGAAAAACCAATTTAACTTTATAGAGGCTCTGTGTTAGTTATTCTGCATTAACATGACGAGGGAGTTTGGAAAAAATCAGATTTCTGGGTGTACTACGGAAGTAGACCCTGGAACTCCATTCTCCCATCTAGAACTATTTACCATGGAGCCATCAAAAGCCTGTGATAGGTCACTAGGCATCCCAAGGTCTCTTATGATTAGGGCTGAATTCTAAGTAAGGACTCTGTAACTTCTGCCAGTGGCATGAAGACATCATGGTTGGGTCTTGATTGAGTTTTCTGGACCAGAGAGAAGAAAATTATCATTTACCCAAAGATGTTGATTTTTCTCTCTTCTAATCCCCTTTGCTCTTCCACACACTTTCCTTTCTCTTCTGGATTGTTTTTGTTTATTAGAAAGTTGCATGACTGCTAATAACGCTGTTTCTCTCCCCTGTCCCCCAGTCCCTGGCCTGCTTCCTTCAGTTTCAGCACTTCAGGAACAGAAAAGAATTATTTGAAATCCAATGCAGGTGAGGCCTGTGCCCTGGGTGTTCCTTCTCCATCCCCATCTCACATTGTTGCATCCAAACATATGAAAAAATTTAAAGCAGAGGTGAGAGATACAGATGGTACTAAAGCATTTTCTGAAAAGGTGATGAAAAGGATAATATCACAACCAGTGACTGCCATCTACCAAATTAATTTCAGCTCCTCCTTAAAATGATTTATCAGACCCTCGCAAGCATCTGCTTGTCATTCTGCATCTCAGCTTCTCTGCCTTCTGCATCCATTCTTTCTCTTCTTTCAGACCTTCTCCCACTCAATCATTCCACCTCTTCTAGCTTTTCAGCCCTTGCTCTTGGCTCTATTCTTGTTTGGCAAAACAAGGCCCAAAAGTTTCAGGAGCCACCTAGGACTCCTCCAGCAGGTCTCTACGAATTCAGTTCATCTTTCCTTTTATCATTTGAAAACATATTATGAATTCTCAACTGTCCATGTAACAGGGAAGAGATTGGTTTTATTTCCAGAAACGTATCTTTAGTCAGCATTACCTCCTGGGGAGGAATGTTGCAAGTAACGGTCCGAAGATCAACTTTGACAAACACATCTATGCAGGGCAAGATCAGAATCAGACCTGTGCAAAAGTAAATACAGTTTAAAATTTGACCCAACTGAAAATAACTACAATAGATTGTCTCCTAGATATACAGTACATTGTTTTTGTGGGAGTATAAAAGCTTCTCAGATGATCTTCAATAAGTTCATCTTTAACTTTGGGGTAATTATTTCCCCTTATGAGTCAAAGACTAAAGGAAAGTGATTCCCTAGAAATTAAAATCTTTTGTTAAGAAGCTAAAGATCCTTGACATTTAATTTTGATTTCTTTCAATATTTTTTCTGTGGGCCATATTTTTAAGTCCTTATTGAATTTGTTACAATATTGCTTCTGTTTTATGTTCTGTATTTTTGGCTGAGAGGCCTATGGCATCTTAACTCCCCAACCAGGGATCAAACCCACACCCTTGCAGTGAAAGTACAGAGTCTTAACTACTGGACCACCAGGGAAACCCTAACATTTAATTATTAGACATTCTTCGAGAGGGATGAAACATATATGTACCTGTGGCTGATTCATGTTGATGTATGGCAGAAAGCAACACAATATTATAAAGCAATTATCTTCCAATTAAAATTTAAAAACATTGGACCTACTTCTAATTCAAGTATTGAATTAGACATTTATTTATAAGAATATTTTGGAAATTGGTTTTTCCCTGGGTTAAACGTATCTGTACAAAAGATTCAAGCACAGACTTTAAGCCTTGAATATCAGTGTCTGTCCACACTCTCATTTATATTCTTCAGGACTGAAGGAACGTTAGCATTAAAATCTTCCCAGGATTTCAGTGTCCCTAAAACTAGTGTATTACAACATTTGTAGTTTCTCTGTAACTGTGTTCTAGCTCATATACAGCTTTCCTCAATTGTGAATATTCTTACTACTCTCTGAGCTGTCAAGTATTAGATTGGGGGGCGGGAAGGGCTGAGGACACTCATTTGAGGATTCTATGATGTCTTAACTTTGCTCTGGTGAAGCTTCTCTACAGCAAGAGTGACCAAGACTAGAACCATAAGCATGTCAGCAAGATGGGGACACCCATCCATTTCCATTTACTGGAAAGATTCTGGTGCTATTGTTTTTGTTGTCAAAGAAACAAGTTTTTTCATTGAGTACCTTGAAAAGGGCTGGTGGCATCAACAGAAAACACTGCTATGGTGCTTTCTTTCTTTTGGTCTCTAAGCCTTTCTGAGGTGAGGATTACTTCCTAATTTACTCCTTTTTTGGGTGCTAAGTCACCAGTTAAAATCATGGCCCTTAGAACTAGACAGAGGTGAGTCCTAGCCCTATTGGTTACTAGCTTGTGACCTAAGAACTTTCATCTAATTTTTCTGAGCTTCAGTCACCTAATTCCTGTAAGATGATAGTGAAGATTAAGCATGATTATGGCTTCCCTGGTGGCTCAGATGGTAAAAGGATCTGCCTGCAATACAGAAGACCTGGGTTCGATCCCTGGGTCAGAAAGATCCCCCAGAGAAGGGAATGGCAACCCTCTCCAGCATTCTTGCCTGAGAAATCCAATGGACAGAGGAGCCTGGCCGGCTACAGTCCATGGAGTCGAAAAGAGTCAGACACAAATGAGTGACCAGTATACACACAACATGTTAACAAAAAAAAAAAGTGCTAAACATAGTGCCCTGTGGTTCAGTGGTAGAGAATCCACCTGTCAATGCAGGAGACACAGGCTTGATCCCTGGTCTGGGAAGATCCCATACGCCACAGGGCAGCTAAGCTTGTGCACCACCACTATTGAGCCTGTGCTCTGGAGCCCGGAGCTGCAGCTCCTGAAGCCTGCATGCCCTAGAGCCCTGCTGCACCCGGCGGAGCCACACTAATGGGAAACCCGCACACCGCAATTAGAGAGTAGCCCCCGCTCACCACAACTACAGAAAAGCCCACACAGCAAGGAGGATGCAGAAGAAACAAAAATAAAAGTAAACAAACAAAATCATTTTTTTAAAAAAATCATAGTGCCAGGCATGTATTAAGTGCTCAAGAAGTAGCAGCTCTTGTTATGAACACTTTTATTGTTAAAAAATAGTTTACGATTTACAGAAGTGGAGAGGTTCTCTGTTAGCAATTTGGCCTGTTTCCCTCTGGCTCTTGTGACATTCTGAGATAACTCCTTCACCCCAGAGACGTCTATGACGAGATTTGTTATCCTGGGACATTTAGTGGTGAACTCTTCTGGGAAAATTCATTTAGAAGAGACTTTTCTCCAGAGTCCTTCAAGCTGTGGTTATTCGACCTCTCCTAAATCCAGTTTTTTTTCTAAGTTATAATCTTGGCTCCACCAGGTGAAACATGACTAGAAAGGGTTTAGCTTTGCTCTGTTATTCCTCAGTTGGATAATTCCATCACCTGTATTTGGATGAACGTCTAAAAATACCGTTAACAAGCATTTCTTGCTTTCTTTCCCTTAGGTTCCTTATTAGACAAGGCACAGGGTCTTGCTTGAGGCATGGAAGTTTAGCATGCGGGATCTAGCTCCCTGACCAGGGATTGAACCCAGCTTCTCTGCATTGGGAGCTCAGAGACTTAGCCATTGGACCCCCAGTGTGAAAGTGTTAGTCACTCATTCGTGCCCGACTCTTTGCGACCCCGTGGACTGCAGCCCACCAGGCTCCTCTGTCCATGGGATTTTCCGGGCAAGGATACGGGAGTGGTTTGCCATTCCCTTCTCCAGGGGATCTTCCTGACCCAGGGATCAAACCTGAGCCTCCTACTGCAGGCAGACTCTTTCCAGACTGAGCCACCAGGGAAGCCCTAGTATTCTGGCCCAGAGAATTTCAGGGACTGTCTAGTCCATGGGGTCACAAAGAGTCAGACACGACTGAGCGACTTGCAGTTTCACTGGATCACAGGGGAAGTCTGTATTAGACAAGGAGGATCATACTACTTGAAGTGGCCAGGTCTCTGTAACAAGCTTCTCCTTTTGAAGTTTCTCGTATGTTAAAAAATGTAACAGACACCTGAGCGCCTGCTTTAGTACATGGCCAAGTGCAGAGCACACGGTGTGAATAAGGAAGTTCCCCCAGAGACCCTACAGTGCAGCTGAACAGAGAATGGCTTTACTTAAATACACCTTAGGAGGGGGCAGACAACAGATGATACTAGAGAGGTTTAGCAAATAGCCCTTCTCCTCCACGTGCATTTTAAGTTAGTTTGAATACTCTTCTTTCAAGAATATTAGAATCTGTCCTATGAAACTGCCATTTTGGTGAGTTGAACACAAACATTAGCAATGTCATAGAGTTCAACTAAACCTGGTGATAGTTCAGCGAAACCAGGATCATACCTGGTCCCTTGGCTTTGTCAGCTTGGATGCGTCCCAGTCGGAATACAACAGCGCGTTCGTACTCCTTAACGATCTGAGAGATGAAGGGAGAGCATTTAGTGTTCATAGTTCTTCAACTCACACAGAGAGACCAATCTGTTTCCCAGGGTATTACCTTCAAGCACATCCATATGGAGATCGGGAAGGTAATGACCATCAGCAGGAAAGAAAGGAAAAGCAGGATCCAGCCACATACACCAAGCCCTTTACTCTTGATGCCTAGGTAACGGGAAGGAGGCAAGCCTGTAACTGACACAGTTCTTAGGAAAGTGATTCAGTGACATGCATGAAGAAACCATCCAAGGAGCTGGCCAGGCTGGAATGGGGCTGAGGAAGCAACCTGAATCCATCACACTCATGATGGCAGTAACACCACACACACACACACACACACACACACACACACACACAGAAAATATTCATTCAGGTTTTTAGATGAAGATGGACTTTTCCCTTCTAAGACACCTCATAGCAATCAATAATAATAATAACCGTAACATTTACATAGGGCTGCCATGGTTTATTACTCTCAAAACACATAAAACCACCCACATGAAAATCACCAGGGTGCCATCTTAAAAGGCAGATTCCTGGGGACTTCCCTGGTGGTCCAGGGGTGCAGGTTCAGCCTGCATATCTCACGGTGCAGTCAAACATAATAAAAATGAAATAAATAAATAAAATACAGATTTCCAGGCCCTCAGAATTCCCTAGGTTAAACCAAGGCAACCTCTGAGGCAGATAGGTAAGTACTACTATCCCCGAAGGAGACCTTGTAGCACAAGGAAAAACATTTTCAGGAGTGCTTACGTTTGAGTTTCTATGAGAATCTTTAACTCCCCAGGGCTGTGGTCTCAGAAAAACCACTCAGTCTTTCTGAGCCTCCATTTCTTCATCTGTAGGATAGGGACAGATATGACCTACCTTGAAGAACTTGGTGAGGATTAAATGGGATTATTTATATAACGCAGCTAACCCACACATTAGTATCTACCTTTGTGTTTGTGCAAACTCACTCAGTCGTGTCAACTCTTCATGACCCTTTGAACTATAGCCCACCAGGCTTTTCTGTCTGTGGGATTTTTCAGGCAAGAATACTGGAGTGGGTTGCCATTTTTCTCCTCCAGGGGATCTTTCCAACCCAGGGACTGAACCCATGTCACCTGTGTCTCCTATATTTCAAGCAATTCTTACCTGCTGAGCCATCAGGAAAGGCCCTATATCTATCTTAGTAAATGTATATTACTACCATTATTCCCATGTTACAGACTGACGAATATTACAGAGACTTGTCAGGCATTGATATTTGATAATTTTGTTTTTTCATAGAATTTTGTTACATCAGCTCACTACATTCATGTCTTTTTGCTAATCACATATTACCACAACAGGGGCATTTTAGCTTAATATCACCTGGGAAGAGATGGAACTAAATTCAAATCATATTTCAGCCTTTTAAAACTTTATAGCTTTAGTCACATCAATTACATAATTTCTCATGTGCTATGATTCTTGTTGGTAAGCATCCAGGTCTGGCTGATCCCTGGATAAATTCTAAATAAATTTAGAATTATTTATATTCACTATTTCACCTTGTTTTAAATCCTTACTGCTTCTTGTTCTCTTCTCCTTGACAACCAACCCCACCCTCACCCCAAACTTCCTCTGATTTCACATGCCACATAGGCACTGAAGCTAATATACTTGCTGGTATCTCCACTCAGATAATCCACAAACACCTTATGCTACCTTTGTCTCAGTGAATGCCTTAACCATCCCCACTGTCGTCCAGGCCAACCATAGAAGTCACGAAGCCTCACTGATAGTGAAGTGAAGTCGCTCAGTTGTGTCCGACTCTTTGCAACCCCATGGACTAATGTAGCCCACCAGGCTCCTCCGTCCATGGGATTCTCCAGGCAAGAATACTGGAATGGGTTGCCATTTCCTTCTCCAGGGGATCTTCCCGACCCAGGGATTGGACCCAGGTCTCCCGCATTGCAGGCAGATGCTTTAACCTCTGAGCCACCAAGGAAGCCCCAAGCCTCACTGATAAACCACCTCAAATTCATCCTCACTTATCCATTTTACTGCTACCAGTGCTTTGAAAAACATGCATGTATGAATATTCACAAGGATCCTTAAAGACTGGCTTAAAACTCAACACTCAAAAAATGAAGATCATGGCATTCAATCCCATCACTTCATGGCAAATAAATGGCGAAACAATGGAAACAGTGAGAGACTTCACTTTCTGGGGCTCCAAAATCACTGCAGATGGTGACTGCAGCCATGAAATTAAAAGATGCTTGCTCCTTGGAAGAAAAGCTATGACCAACCTGGACAGCACATTAAAAAACAGAGACATTACTAACAAAGGTCCGTCTAGTCAGAGCTATGGTTTTTCCCAGTAGTCATGCATGGATGCGAGAGTTGAACCATAAAGAAAGCTGAGCACTGAAGAATTGATGCTTTTGAACTGTGGTGTTGGAGAAGACTCTTGATAGTCCCTTGGACTGCAAGGAGATCCAACCAGTCCATCCTAAAGGAGATCAGTCCTGAATATTCATTGGAAGACTGATGCTGAAGCTGAAGATCCAATGCCTTGACCACCTGATGGGAAGAATTGACTCATTGGAAAAAACCCCGATGCTGGGAGAGATTGAAGGCAGGAGGAGAAGGGGACGACAGAGTATGAGATGGTTGGATGGCATCACCAACTCGATGGACATGAGTTTGAGCTAGCTCCAGGAGTTGGTGATGGACAGGGAGGCCTGAAGTGCTGCAGTCCATGAGGTTGCAAAGAGTCGGGTATGACTGAGCAACTGAACTGAGACAAGATTCTAGGATTTTGCTCTTAGAGATAATGCTGTGAGGAGTCCTAATGTGTATCTTTGTGGACTTGTGTAGGAGGAATTCCCAGCAGTAGAAGTGTTAGGTCAAGGGGATTAGTATTTGCAATTTTGATAGATGGTAAGTGCCCTTGAAAGAGGTTGTACCCTGTGCCTATTCCCACCCACCCTCTCCTCACCATTTATTTTCAGTCTTTTCAGTTGCTGCATTCTAATAAATGAAAAGCATCTGAGTTTTAGATACATATTTCACGTGAAAAACTTCTGAGTGCAAATATTCTTTTATTGGCTTGAAATGCACATAAAGATCTACTCCATAACAATAAGGGTTTGCCTGAATATGTCAAAGTTTAAGTTTCCAAAATATCACTTTCCAAAACTTTGGACCACATTGAGATGGATCAGACTATCATTATGCAGGATAAAAAGACATTTTATGCCTTCTCATAGTATCTTTGTTGTGTTTTATTTATTAGCACTTTTAAAGTTATTACTAATGACATACCTTATATATATACATTCTCATTAATAAAAAATTCAAGAAATATGAATAAAACTGGAGTCCCCACCACCACTGACCATCTTCTCCTCAGTCCACTTTTACCTAGAAAGCTTCCATAGTTATCATTTTGGTATATGTCCTTATAGATCCATTACTGTGTATTTACATACATGTATCTCTAGTTAGAAAAACTTGGTTTTGATTTGTAGGTTTTATGAGAAATGGCATCACACTGTTTCTACTTTTTTTTTTAACTGAATTTTTTTTTCAGCTTTTAAGTCGTGTCTGACTCTTTGTGACCCTGTGGACTGTGGTATGCCAGGCTTCCCTGTCCTTCACTATCTCCCAGAGTTTGCTCAAATTCATGTCCATTGGTTGGTGAATCTATCTAACCATCTTATCCTCTGCCCTCGTCTTCTCCTTTTGCCTTCAAAAAATACTAACTGAATAAATTTTGGAGATATTCCCATGGCATTACATCTGGATCTACCTTATTCTTCTTCATTGTTGCCTCGTATCCTGAATGTGTGACTCAAAAAAAAAGTTTTATTTAGCCGTTCTCCTATTGATGGATATGATGGTTACTGGCAATTTTGCTTTCACAAACAAGGCTGCGATAACCTTGCTTGGACACGACTCTCCCAGATGATTCGCGCTTTCCTGGCATCTTGAGGAAAGCTTTGAGGACGCAGCACAGGCCTTGCCCCTTTGGTGTGTTTCCACCGTGCTGACGCCGCCATAGTTGGCGCTCAGAACCCAGCGGCGTTGGGGGCTGTGACTCTACACTGCCACACACACAGGGAACTGGGGCTCCAACAAGGACATCAGCGACACTTCATGCCGTGAGCAAGCCCTTTGCTGTGCTTAGTCGTTCAGTTGTGTCCAACTCTTTGCGACCCCATGGACTGTAGCCCGCCAGGCTCCTCTGTCCGTGGGATTCTCCAGGCAAGAATACTGGACTGGGTTGCCATGCCCTCCTCCAGGGCATTTTCCTAACCCAAGGATCGAACTCAGGTCTCCTGCATTGCAGGCGAATTCTTTACCGTCTGAGTCACCACGGAAGCCTAAGCCAGCCCTAGACATGTCCAGACTCTTTACAGCCCTAACACCAAGCTGCAACAGAAGGTGCTGGTCGCAGAGAAAACTGCCCTGAACTCCATGAGCTCTGCCACAGTCCCTAGCATCATTACCTGTGAGCGTGTCTCTGTGAAGTCCTAAATGTGCCGAGAGAGGCCAGAGATGAGGGCCTGATTAATCTTCCAAGATTTACACCTGAGCATTAGAATTACCCAGGCCGCTGCCCCTGGGAGGATCGGTGGAGCCTGGGGGTGTCATTAGCTGTGGTTAAAGTGGGGCTGTCGCCTTCCCCGCAGGGCTCTGTGGCTCAGCCTTGTGAGCACAGCAGCTCTGGGGGAGCACCAAGCTGCTTTTGCAGCCTCCTGCAGAACCAGCCTTCTTTCTCCCCACCTCCCCCACAGCTAAAACCAGGACGCTGTGCTGAGAAGTGGATTTGAGGATTACAATTCCAATTCAAAGGAAATACTGAGATTGTATTACAAAGGCTCTTCAGACATCTCCCGTACCCAACCTTTACCTTATCCTACACAAGGTGACTTCCAGAGCCTCCCCTGAGCCAGTCTCTTGAGGGGGTGGTGGAAAGAAAAGGGGCCATACTCTGTGTGATCATCTCCTGCTTTAGCCATCTGTTCATCTGCTTTATCCTAATCTGTGGAGGGGTATTTTCTCTGGGTAGTTGTCAGTTCAGTTCAGTTCAGTTGCTCAGTCATGTCTGACTCTTTGAGACCCCATGAACTGCAGCATGCCAGGCCTCCCTGTCCATCACCAACTCCCATAGTTTACCCAAACTT